CTTTACTCACGTTTGGCGATGGGACAGGACTCTTTGAGTTATCAAGGCATCATTTACTATAACCATGTAGTCAAACTATTTGGAAATAAATGTAGTCTGCAAACATTTAAATCGAGACTATACAGTCACCCAACAAAAAATGCATTTTATTCTGTTCAAGAATGTTTAAACTCTAATATAAGTCAACTAGTTGTTACCCGCGACTTCGCCCGCGTAGAATTTGGTAGTTGTAGTACTAATTAGTACTATGTTGCTGTATCGCTGCTGTTCCAATGTTTTGACAGAATCAGAATCAACGAACTTAGGCGTGCGCAGCGTTATAGAACAGTGCTTTCATAAAATTGTTCTACTGCTCCATCTAGTGGCGAGTTACAGAAAAATTGATAGCCTAAAAACCTTCTCTATGAAAAATTACTTATACATGTCAAGTTTCATCACGATCGGTTGAGCGATGTAGAAGTTTATCACTTACCAACCAACCAACCAACAAACATCCATTTTTATGTATTAGATAAGATGCCTTTCTTTTATTTTTGTAATGTACATGTATGTATCTATTTATACTTTATATATAGCCTAGTGCTCAGGTTTGACTAGTTTGATAAATTTTATAAGTGTGATGTAATGCAATGCAATTGTAAAATTTTTAATGAAGAATAAATTCTATTTAATTCCATTCATCTGAAGAGATTTGTTTGTCTCTGGTGAGTGGAACATTTACCAAAATGATACAATGGTAAATTATTAGAAAATTTTCTTTATTCCAATCAAAGTCAGATGCCTTGAATACGAGGTCTGTTCAAAAAATAAGGTGAATTTTCATTCTTCTCAAAAAATATTTTAATCAGCAATTTCTATTTTGTCCCCTACAAAGTAGTCCCTCTCAGATATAAGACACTTGTGCCAACGTTTTTTCCAATCCTGAAAGAAGTAAGGATATGGTATATCCTTGAGCTCTCTCAGCGATTCCGTTTCTATCTCCTCAATCGTCCTTTTATGGGTCTCTTCAATCTTGGGAACAGAAAAAAGTCGCAGGTGACCAAATCTGGTGAATATGATAGCTAAGGCATTATTACGGCGTTGTTTATGGCTGAAAAATTACGAACAAGCAATGTCGAGTGAGCAGGTACATCATCGTGATGCAAAAGCCATCAGTTGTTTTTAACCATACCGGCCGTTTTCTTCGTATTGCATAACTTCAAGACAATACTCTTTATTGACCGTATGACCATGTGGCAAGAACTCCTGATACACTACACAACGGTAATCAAAGAAAACAGTGAGCAAAACCTTGACATTCGATCAAACTGACAACATTTCAAGTGTTTTTGAGCACTTAATTTCATTTTTTACACAGAAATTTGATGCAAATCCTTTAATCTAATGTATGTACCCTGCAAAATTTCAACATTCACCCTATTTTTTTACCAGACCTCGTATAATACACTGAATAGTAGGGGAGTCTTGTGACACATCATTTTGAAACTCCTGACAAATACTTCGCAACCCTAGAATATGAAGTCAATATCTTTACTTACTACAAAATGGCGAAACATTTAATAATTTCCTGAAGACAAACACATTAATATCGATATTTCTAGAAAAATTCGTTTTTATCTGCCATATGGCAACTCGATAAGGTTTGTTAAGTAATTTTTTTTTTTTATAAAAACGACAAAAAATGTCAGTACGACAGTGAACATCATTGTTCAGTTAGAATATTCTCATTTAGTTTTCGGTTTTACTAGTAGAAAGGTACCATGTCACAATCTTTGAAATGGTCAATTCTCGTCCATGGAAGAAAAAACTGAAGCGATTTTTATTTGCGATGCGACGCGTAACTTTCACGAGACCGAAAGGATTTTCAATGAACGTTTTCAGAATCGTCCTATCTGTAGAAAATATTTGAGGGAACTTGTATCCAAATTCACAACTACCGGTAGTGTACATAACAAAAAGCCCCCAGGTCATCCATCCATTCCGGAAGAACAGCAAGTGCAAATAATTGGTGAGATGGTAGTAAATCCTGAACAGTCTACTTATTCCGTCGCGAATGTTTGTGAGGTGTCTCCTACTACTGTGTGGAGACTTTTGAAGAGGAATAGGTATCATCCATACAAAATCAAAATGATGCACTGAAGATGACCCTGATTGAGGAACAGAATTCTGCGAAATCATAACGGAAACCATTGCAAAGCATCGTACCTATCTCCACAATATTTGTTTTAGTGACGAATGTATATTTTTTTAAACAGCAATGTTCACATACTAAATTGCCGTTATTGAAGTGAAACCAATCCTCATGTTTTCCGGGAAACACCTACTCAATATCCTGAAAAAATTAACGTTTGGGCAAGAATATTGGGAAACCATATTGTAGGACCTCTATTTGACTCTTTCATCACTGAAATCGTTGAAGCGAATCCTAATGAATTCAATATGGATATTGTATTCCAACAAGATGGAGCACCACCACATTACTGCAGACAAGTAAGAAACTATTTCGACACTACTTTTCCCTGTCGTTGGATTGACCGTCGAGGACTTACAGAATGGCCAGCCCGCTCGCCAGATTTGACACTTTTGGACTTTTTTATAGGCTATTTGAAGCAAAAGGTGTACGAAAATAAACCTGCTTCAATATTGGATATACGGCAGAGAATAATAAATATTTGTAGAGATATTGACGTTACTGTGTTCGAAAATATTCGGCGTGAAATATCCGATAGGCTGTTCATATGTCAAGAAGTTCAAGGCAACCATTTCGAGTATCTTCTGAACTGACCTCAAGCTTATTACCTCATATTATCTAGTTAAATGTCAATGTTTTCAGGAAATTACTAAACGTTTCGGCATTTTGTAGTAGTTGAAGATATTGACATTATATTCTAGGGCTCTGAAGCTTCAAAAAGATGTGTCACAAGAACCCCCTTTCTATTTATTGTTTTTCCCAGATGGCGCCCAGTCACCATCTTGAAAGAATTTCACTTAAAAATAAAGTATTCCTGCAATAATTTTATTATTCCAAATTTTAATTTTTTGAGTTGACCCGTTCAAAAAATAAAAGAGAAGGGGACATTAAAGAAAAGCACTGTCATAGTCATAGATCTTCATTTGCTCCAGTTACATATAATGTACATATATAAACTCCGAGGAGTGTGGAACATGTCAGTAGTAAATAACAACTAAATAACAAATCAAAGTTTTACATTCATAATCAATATTATCTCACGAGTAGTTTTAAGACACAAAAAAAACAATATATACAAAAATCAGGCATATGTAAATAACATTCATATAGTTAGCATACTATCATTTAAGAATTTCTGCAAGCTATAATAAGGTTTTTCTACGAGATAGCTCTTCAAACGACATTTCATTGTTGAAATTGTAAGATTTCTTAGAGTGAGTGGAAATTTATTGTAAATGTTTATAACGCTATATTTGACATTTCTCTGTATATATGTATAGTTGCATTTCTCATTTCTAAGATCATTCTTTGTTATGGTGTTGTATAAGTGATCCTTTTCACAGTTAATGAAAAGTTCTGATTTGTTTTCTGTTACAAATACTACTGCTTCATATATACAGAGATTTATCAAAGTTAAAATTTTGCTCCTAATAAAAGCTTCTCTGCAGCTATCGTTTTTTTTTTCATCTTATAGATATACCTAATACATTTGTTTTTGTAGTATGAGTATCCTAGAGATACCAACAGAGTTTCCCCAGAATATTATTCCATATTTTATTCTAGATTGAATATAAGCATGGTATGCAGAGAGGGCAGCTTCAGTTGAGACATGTTCCGACAGTATTCTCAATGCATAGCAATATTTTGCAATATTTTTTGATAAGTAGTCTATGTGATTTTTCCAGTCCAGTCTCCTATCTATCAAGAGTCCCAAAAATTTTACCTGATTGCATATGTTTATATTTTGATTATTATATTCAAAGGTATTCAACTCTGGCGAGGATCTATTTGCGAAATGAATTATTTGAGTTTTGTCAATATTAAGTAGTAAGTCATTTGCTGTGAGGAAATTGTTCAATACATCTAGCANTGAACTAAATCAATTATTTCTTCCATGTTCTCAATGAAAATATCGAATGATCCTAAGCCAGTTCTGTAAACACATACAATTACAATTTTCATTTTCCTAATTACTACACTTCCACATTCCAAATGAATATGTCATTTAGATGATATTTAGTAAATCTGATTTCATGATTTGTTATTAATAGTGTTGTATGCGTGGACTGTAATTTCTGTGATTTAAATTTGAATGTTAACCTTTTGCGTGGTTTTGGTAAACAGAGAGAGCAAAGATTTTTAAATTGTACTAAACTGTGCTTACCTTACCTCGTCTCCTATCATGATGGAATATATTTTACGGGGGTGCGCGATATAGTCACACAATGGAGGCAAGTACAATAATATTGCCGTATGTATAATAAAAATCGAATGCAAGTAAAAATGCGTGCATTAGATTTTTATTGCTCGGAGAAGAAACAAATAGTTTGTATCAAGAATGTTATCATCTGCAGTGTATTACAAAGGTCAGCACTGAATCCTTTTCTGTTAGTATATCAAAGTGTGTGAAGAGTAATTTTCACCAGTAATAATTATAATTTTACTATAATACTATAAAGAATCATGATTTAGAAAATTCAAATGAAACGACTTGGACATTTAAACAATAATTTAATATAGGAAATTGATGTCAAAGGTAGCAATTTTGAGAATCTTCTCATTCTTAGATTTTATCAGGTTTTAAATTTACAACTTCTCCCTTACATTGTCAATAATATGATCATATGGTATCTACTTTATGATACTCAATAATTCATTCGAAATCAATACTAACATAAAATTTGTTGACAAAGTTTTAACAAATTGATGAGATAAAAAAAACTTTTTTTTTTAACAAATGATCAATTTATCAAGTATCCAGTCATCTGGAATGTCATTTTTGCTGAAAGTTTTCTGGTTTTCATTTTAGTGAGTTGCATAATATGGGAAAGAAACGAAATCAAGAAAGCAGATTTATCGATGCTCGACATTAGTTCTGCTATTATTTGCAAAGTGGACTCGATGCCAGAGAGTATGGACTATTTTTATTTTGGGATAGTCCTGTCTACAGCCATAGCGCTCTTGCCTGTTATTTGTAGACTAGTGAATTCTTCCAGCGAGGCTAATTTATTGGATGCACATAGACTTGTAGAAGATATTTATGCCAATGTTACCACATCTGTTATGAAAGATCATGATTCAGTGGTAGTTTTTTATCACCACTTGCTGAAGGAGATTCTACGAAGGTTTGGAAGCTGTTTTTTTTCTGCATTCGATGGAGATTCACGGTGAGTTTTTGAAGAGTTGAGAATCTTCAATTTCAGTCTTGTATTTCATATGTGTTGAAAGTTTTGATTCATTTCAAATTCATTGATTTCTGTGTCTTTTTAACCCACTAATTAGCAAACATTTCTTTTTGAGATTGCAGAGTAAAGCATTATTGAAAACAGTATTGATTTTAGAAAATCATTTTGTATCTTCACTGATGGTGAATTGATAAGAGGCTCATTTGTAGTGAAGCAAATATACAGATTGCTCATTTAAGTACTTATGTTTCCAGGACTTCATTATCAAAGAAAATTCTTCAACAACTTATAGATCTGTCCTCAATGGAGGGTTGCCTAACCTTAGGTTGTGCCACCCAACTTATTATCGATCTCTAGGCGGGTTTTTATAATCCAAAAAAAGTACTTTTCTCAATCACCAGGAGTGAAATACTCTTCTTGACGCGCGTTTCACCAACCAAGTTGGTATCTTCAGGAGATGAAAAAAATTAAAATAGTTTTAGTTTTATTTATTTATTAGGAAAAGTGTTTGTTTTGGATCTATTCTATTTCTAAAGCTGCGCCCTCACCGAGTCGACACTGTTGATCGACATTTTAGATCAACAAGCGACAAAACTGCATCTGTCCACACCGAGTCGACCCAAATGTTTGTCTATCAGTCGAAATCAACATGTCTGACGAAGATGATGTAATACTTGCTTGTGCCGCATATATTATTGTACCCAAAAAAAAAGAAGGTTTTGTGTTCGATCAAGCCTTCAAACTAGAACTAGATACAACGCCAGTAATTTGATAGAAGATTTAAAGAAAGATGACGACAACATATTGAGCCTTGAATACAGGTGTAACGGTGGTTTTAGAAATCTTTTTCGGATGTCGGAAGGTGAATTTGAATATCTATTACAAAAATCGGGCCAAAAATTTGTAAAGAAGACACCAATTGTAGACCTGCCATTCCCATATTGGAGCCTCTTGCCCTAACGTTACGATTTTTATCAACTGGAGATTTGTACCACTCGACTTTGTCGAGTGTCACGTACACACCAAGGCGACAACGTCGATCGACAGAGTCGATCTTGTAATTTTGTTAAATACTACTACCCTCTCAGTGTTTCACCCAAAACAATTCACTACAAATTGTTCTTCTTTCAAGATCTATAAAAAAATTTGCCATAGCATATGTCTATTTTTTTTGATGAATTACTATACCTATTTCAATGTTTGAAAAAATGGTCACATACAGTGGTAGATAATTGGAAAGCTTTTTAGACAGATCCGATATCAATCCCTATCAAACTATTACCTTAAGAATTTCATAATAATAATCATAATGTTTATTTCTTGAACAACATGTGTATACGCATGTATGAATGAGCATCTAATATTTCACGAGAGCAGCAATTGTTGCTTGTCTGTGGTTGAAATGACAAATGACATTGTAATACTGACCTTAATTTTAACTTTTGTTCACAAATAAAGTGTGCATCTAAAATACACATATTTCAAATAAAATTTCTATGAGGATGGCAGTGGGAAAAACAATTCTCATCATTATTTGTATGTGTGGATTTTCCTAATTTCTTTCATGTTTCTAAAATTAAACGAGGCGTATGGCTGCAGAGAAAAAAGTTACAGTGTAATTTGCAAAACGAATGTTTTCAGGACAGCCGGTTGAAAAAAGTCCATTTATGTACATATATGTAAAACAAGATAGGGCCCGAAACCGTTCCGTGTGGCATGTCACTTTTTTTGTGAAATTTAGTTCTGTTGATTCTCACTATTTGCTCTCTTCTCACAATATAACATTCTAGTAGTTGTAACTGTTTACCATCAAGTACTTCATCCACAATTTTAATTAGATGTAACATGGCATCTTGAATGAACTTTCTTCTCGGAATCCAAACTGAAATCCTGAAAGGATTTTGTGTTTTACAAGGAATGAATTCAATCTGACCTAAATTGCCTTCTCAATAATTTCACATAGAGCTATAATTAACGATACTAATCTTTAATTGATTCTCTCAGTCATATAAATTGGTGTGACTTTGAACAACTTCAAACATGATGGGAAATTTTCTGTCTCAATAGGCCTGAGTGAATGTATAAATAGAAGGATCAGCCACATATTTTGCTCTCAATTGAATTTCACAACGTTATCAAATAACTGAATATATTGAACGAAAGTCATTTTTGTGGGGGAAATCAGAGTTTTCTTTGGGTTATTTCACCATTACAATTTTAATTTTTTCTTCAGATTATTGAAGGTTAAACTAACCAGAGACGGTTGAAAAATGCTCAATATACAACTCAACCCCATTCCAATTATACTTTGAATTTATTCCACTTGTGACTATAGCTTTTGGGAAGACTGTAAATAAATTTTCATAGTGACATTGTGATGTCACAATAAATAATCGGGGGCTATACATTGGGGGGCAGCAGTGTAACAATAGGTTTTAAAAAAAACTTTTATTGTCCAAACAGGCACTAGACCCAATTACAGGATGCAGTATACAATTTTGGGATGAAAGTGTTGCATATAGAAAATATACACATATTATAATAGTAATAATACATTCATGGAATATTTTAAAGAAAATAAAGGAAAAAAATAATAAATTTCAAGTTTGTGTTTGATGATTTGCATAACCTAATAAACGGTTTTGGGATAAAAGTGTTAAATTTAAAAGATATACATATATAACGTAACAGTAATACGTTCATCGAAAAAAAATATTAAATGAGTAGTTGTTGCTTTGCAAACAAAATAGTTTTTATCACTTTTTTGAATATATTCAATGGTGTTGAATGAATGTCTACTTTCTGACACAGTTGATTAAGTTTATAGCACATTGCAAATAAGAGAAATTTGAATAATTTATTGGTTCTCGGTGTTGGTAGGTAAAAAACATTGTTCAGTTTTACTACTGATTCTTGGCACATGAAACTCTATTTGAGAAGTAGTTTTTGTGAGTTGACAAGATTGTTCACCGGTTTATATATGAATACACAAGAATAATAATTTTTTCTGTCTTCAAGATATGGAAAATTGAAACGTTGCAACAATATAGTATTACATATTTCCTGTCTGGGGTATTCATTATCTAGTTTATCTATAACATATTTCATAAACCGTCGTTAGACAGATTCAAGTGATTGAATGTGTGAAGTATATATAGTTGACCAGATAAGACAGCCATATTTTAATCGGGATCTAACAAATGAGTTGTAGAGAGTGATAAAACTTTCCATGTTTTTGAAATCTTTCAAGTCATTTTGTAATATTTCATTGTAATTAGGTGACTCTTTGATACGAAAAACCTTCAGATCATCAGAAAAAAAATAGAATTTCTATTTGTTGATGAATACGGAGAATAGAAGGTGTTCAGAATAAAAAAATGTTCTGTAAAATAAACATGTAGCCATATGGAATTTCAACAAAAAATTAATTACCACTTTCAGGGAATATGTTGTGATGACGATATCTTCTATTCAACGTTGGATTTTGGCTTCGACAATTTTCTTCCTGTTGGCCGTAGCTGAGAAAACTTTTAAACAGAGGTTGCTCTATGCCAAATTATTCTCGCATTTGACTTCATCTAGGCGGGCCAAAAAATCGGATATCCCTCATTTTCGATTGAACAAAGTTCTGAACATCAAGACGTGGCTGTCAGTGCGTTCCTATCTGAAGAAGAGAGGCCCTCAGAGGTCAGTCGATGTCATCGTCTCTACAGCCTTCGTAGCTAATCTTCTGCTGTTGACGTTTCTGTGTGTTGAAGTATTGAAGGTGAGCTGAATATATATATATAAAATATGGAGGCAAACCGCGGACACGTGTTTCTGGCTATTGGCCTCATCAGCGCGGTGCAGCCAATTGCAAAGGTGGACAACAACTGGTTACCAAAAATGGAAAAAAAGAACATCCCATATACACGGTGTCACCAACCACAAATGTGCGGTTGGCTCCTGTTGGCTGTTTCAGCCTATTGGGCATGGTCAATACCGGGCAGGTGGTCCTCGATTGAAGACAAAATGAGAAAAAACCAAGAAAGTACTTGATAAAAATAGCTGCGTAAACGCAAGCGAAACATGAGTGGAACCACCTATTGGTGTGACACCCAAGTCAACTTGGCAAGTTGGCAGGGAGGTCATTAAAACAATGTACTCCTTCATAAAATAAAGAATTATGTGTACTATTTTTTTATATTTTTCAACTTTTATATTGTTTCTGTTTCTGGTATTATGCCCATGTATTTCAGCCACATAAGTTAATTTACTCTGTAGATATACAGGTGAATATCCAATTTTGATTATAAAATAAAAATTAGTGTTTGGTACTCGAAGAGTTTCTTCACTGGTAATCATTGAAGTGTTTGCAACATATTTGCTATGGGTGTTATCCTCGAACGTTGTAAGATTATTCACATAGCACGATTCTGCATCTTTTGTAGTCTGTTTATTTCATTTTGATTGAGAAAGAACAGAATGGTAGAATAATAATTCAAATGTGGAAGGGTAATGGAGTTGTAAACTAATGATTTAGCCCACTGGCTCATATATGGGGAACATCTTCTTAAAAAGTCGATTCTGTAAGCTATTGTTTTGATAACTTGACTAGCATGTTACTTGAATTTCAAGTTGCTGTCAATAGTTACACCCAAGTACACGAATTTGTTTACCTTCTCTATATTACTGTCATTCAATCGTAGAAGTAGGTTTTCATTATTATGATCTCTATGTTTCCCTAATAACATCCATTTTGTTTCATTTACATTCACCTTCAGCAGATTTGCAGAGCAATATCTATACACCCTTTCAAGACTAGCGTTTATAGTATCAACACACTCATGTACATCTTCACAACTAAAGTACAGCAGGGTATCGTCGGCAAATAAGTGAATTCTATATTCTTCTGCTATGGTTACAATGTCATTTAAATATATAAGGAATAACAATGGTCCCAAAATAGACCCTTGGGGTACATCTATTTTATTTTGTATTTTCAACCTTTGCTGTCTATTGCTCAGATAATTCATGATCCGGTTCAGTGCTATTCCATCAATACCTAAGCTTTCAATCTTTCTAATCAGTCTGCATCTACAGTTTCAAATGCCCGTTGAAGGTCAAGAAATACTGCAATAATATACTGATCCATTTCCGCACCTTTCTTCCAATCTGTTAAAACACATTGTAACGCAGTTTCACAACTATGTTGCTCCGAAAACCCGATTGATACTCAAAAAGGATCATATTACTCTTCAAATAGTCCACTATCTGTTCATATACAGCCTTTTCCAATACTTTAGCTGTAGCATTTATCATGTTTATTGGTCTCAATTGAATAGCTTGGTTTGTATTTGGTTGTTTTGGTATAGGTATAATAGTAGATAATTTTAGTTCAGTTGGTACTTCACCTTTCTCTAAAGAACTGTTGATAATGTTTAACAATGGATTACAAATGGCACTGAAACACTTATTCAGAAGTTCTACACACATTTTATCAGGACTACTTTTATTTTTCAAGGAATCAACAATTCTTTCTAGATCTACCATATTGATAAGACTAAAGTTGGACAATTTATTATCAGTTATTCATTTATTTATAGGAAAACTATAAGAAAATTTGTTGTCAATTGCATTAGTTATATTTAATATACTTTTGATATAAAATGTGTTCAGGCCATTTTTTTCAATGTCATGGGGGGTCGAGTGATAAATCATTTAAAATGTCTTTTGTCTCTCTATTACTTCTGTAATTTTTTGCTAAATTGGTTCATTTGTTATTGAGAAATTAAATGTTGAACGTTTTATTTAAGAAAATACAGAAAATTCGCTGTCGCTCATTTTATTGAGGAAATCAACAAAAGTAATATCAATGGCAACACATTCAACGAATAAAGTGTTCAAAATGACCTCCATCTAGTTCCATACAATAATACAGTCTATTTTCGAAAGCGTTCCTTACATTATTCAAGATGTCCGGAGTCAGAAATCGGCATTCCCGAACAATTCTCTGTCACATGTCTTCTAGGTTTCTAGAATTTTTTAATTAGTAGCAAACGTTTTGAAATGGACGACACTGTTAGTTTTTTCTGCACTAGTAGTTTTTGTTGAATCTAGTTGTCGCAGAACAAAAAGTAGATTTTTTTTTCTTATAAGAAAGTTTCTTCCTTATTCAGAGTAATCGGGCAAATTACGGATATGCAGTTGGTTAGTACCTCGTCCACTAGATGGAGTGACATTTTTGATGTTCGCTCCAACTTTGGAAGAGGAATGAAATACTCTGAAAGAATTCCGATTTTCAATTATGGAATATCATTGACTTTAGTTCGATGATGTTCACTATCTTGCACTGACGAGTGGCTAATGAGCCCGAAACCGGTCTGCAAGTGTGCCCGTTCTAAAATTGAAGGTCGACTCTTTCAGTTGTATTGCCAATTGCATATGCAGGAAATTTTCTGTGAAGATTCCTGCACTGACGCCTGTCGAATATAATCCAACGCCCTTCGTGGTATTAGCCAGGGGAGTAGTTGTTTTCTGATAGGCGTCAGTCCATTCAACCTACTGTGTAGGTATATCGAGACTGGCTTGAACGTATAAAGTTCATTTCTTTAAAAAGTATATAGTTGGCCACTGTCACTTCTTCACCAATTATTATTCAGTTATCCTTGTTTACTGTGTTCCAACATGGTTTATTCTACTGAAGAAAGGATAGAAATTTTTGCAACCTATTATCGAAATGATGAATGAGCTAAAGCTGCTGCAAAAATTTTCAATATGAATCATCCAGACTACAACGTGAGCCATCAATACATTAAACAGTTAATGGATAAGTTTCGAACTTCAGGTTCTGTTCACAACAGAAAACATGAAGTACCCGTCCTATCAGAAATGACGGAGTTGAAGTTGCAGTTTTAGGACATGTACAAATGAATAACTGACAATCTATCAGATAGGTACCTAGAGCATCTGGTGTATCAGCTACTAGTGTTTTTTCGGATTTGAAAGCCTATAAATTCCATCTTTTTAAAATAAGGCTAGTTCAGGAATTAAACGATGATGATCCTGATCGTCGACTTCAGTTTCGAGAGGAGTTCAGCGAGAAATTGACCAATAACCCAAAGTTATTATACAATACATGTTTTTCAGATGAAAGTTTTTTCATGTTGAATGGTGAAGGGAATAGAGATAATTGTCGTTACTGGAGCGATGCGAATCCTCATTTGGTGATGGAAACACGTTCACAAACTCCACAAAAATTGAATTTCTGGGCCGGCATTCTTCGTAATCATATTGTTGGACATTCTTCATTGAAGGTGATTTCAATGGAGACACATACCTAAATCTATTAAAAGACTGTGTAGATCCTATGATTACACAAATTTTAGAAAATGATAATTTAGTAGGAAATTAAATAACATTCCAGCAGGATGGTGCAACCCCTCATTTTGATGTTTGGGTGAGACAGTTTTTGGACGAACGTTTTCCAATGCGTTGGATCGGCAGAAGGGGTCCAGTGGAGTGGCCAGCTAGATCACATGATCTCACACCGTTGGACTTTTTTCTGTGGGGACACCTGAAGTCGAAAGTGTACTCTACTAAGCCTACAAATCTAGAAGACCTGCGACAGAGAATTGTTGGGGAATGCCAATTGCTGACTCCGGACATCTTGAATAATGTACGGAATGCTTTCGAGAGTAGACTGTATTATTGTATGAAACTAGGTGGAGGTCATTTTGAACAAATTATCCGTTAAATTTGTTTCCTCTGATATTATTTGTTGTTGATTTCCTCATTAAAATGAACGATAGCGAATTTTCTGTTTTTTTTAATGAAACGTTTAACATTTAATTTCTTATGATGCACTGTTGGAACCTTTAGTGTAGTAATGAATATTACTGGAGTTTTTTCCCAACACCAAATCGTTATTTTTAACACCTCGACACGTGTTTCGATCACCAAGTGATCATCTTCAAAGAGGAAGATTAAAACTTTTAGTTTTAATCAAAATCGTTATTTTCAACACCTCGACACGTGTTTCGATCACCAAGTGATCATCTTTTCAAAAAGGAATATTAAAACTATGAGTTTTAAGTGATCATCTTCAAAGAGGAAGATTAAAGCTAAAAGTTTTAGTTTTAATCTTCCTCTTTGAAGATGATCACTTGGTGATCGAAACACAAAGAGGAAGATTAACACTAAAAGTTTTAGTTTTAATTTTTATGTTGACGGAATTAACTGACTTGTGTTGCATTGGCATAAGTGCACTGATTCAAGTGGGGCTTATTTCGATTAAATTGAATGAGTATTTACTGAGATATCACAGTGTAGAGTGAACATAAAAACGGACAAAACTTTTGAAACAACCTAATAGCAGACAAGTTGTTTTTGTAATTTTGTTGCAAAAAACTGTTGATCACCACCCCCTAGTCATTTTCTGTACCTATAATTATAAACATTAATTATTACTTTCAGGATACTGTGTTTTTTTCACAATACTATTTGGAAGCCCTGATATGGTGTATTGGATTGGGCATACTGCTTCTCAGATTCATGACTCTTGGAACGAAGATTAACAAAAAATATAGAAACCTGTCTGTACTCATAACGGAGCAGATAAATCTTCATCTGCAAATTGAACAGATATCACACAAGAAAGATGAACTGAATGTTTCTCAGAAGAAAGAAGAACTTAACGTTTCAAATAACGTTTTGAAACTTGCCATAGATTTGCTGAAGGTGAGGAATGCAATAAAAATATTTCATAAGAAAATAAATATTTCGAAATAAAATCTAGAAATATTCATCTTCTAACTCACCCACACAGTAGGTTTAGGTTAGGAAAATAACTACTTTCCCGGCTAATACAATAATAATAATAAGACTTTATTGTCTGAAGAAAAAATCTTGTTGACAAAGTTAGTAAGTAAGTATAAAATAAAATACATAAATGTCCTATGAATATAAAAATATAAACGAAATATAGTGTACACTAAACTAAAGTATAAAAAACACTGAATGAAAACAACAAATAATGGTTGAAACAAATACACACATAAAACACGCACAGCATGCAACTCAGTTAAACTATAATAGGGTTCACTACTCAAAAGTTCATTGATTATTTTCCTGTATTGATTGGGTTAATATCTGTCTCTTTAGAGTAGCTCGGCAGATGGTTATACATCTTCACACTTTTGTAAAATAAGGAGTGCAAACTGAATAGAAAACGTGTTTTTTATATAAACCAATCTTCATATAAAAGTAGTTATTTCAAATTATTCATTTCCTTATATTGATAAAAAAATACGTATACAAGAATGGACAAGGAAAATTCATAGAGTAGCAAATCACATTTTTGTATTTAAAAACTCGTCAAGAGTATAAAAACATCTTTCTAACAGAAATGATTTAAATTTTTTTTTTAACAACGAAAGGCTGCATATTGACTTCAATTTATTTGGTAAACGGTTGTTAATTTTGAGTCCTACACGTTTTGCTGCACTTTGAGTTATCTTATACTTAGCTGATCTAACGTGTATCATTTGCTTCTGCCGAGTGTTTTTATCATGAATATCGCTATTGACATTGAAGTCATTCCTGTTAGTGAAAACATAAACTGACAACTCATAAATACATAATCCAACCAGTCTCAATGTTAATGAAAAGATAGGTTATAGAGCTGAAACTAATTGATTACAGTGCTCATTCCAAGAAAGACTCTCATCCATTTGCATGCCTAGGAATTTAACAGCATCATGGGTGTTTCTCAAAATAGAATCATTAACAGTCACCTGAATATCATCGGTTTTATTTTGATAGATGTGAAAGCGGATTAACTGAGTTTTTTTACATTGAAAAACAGGTTGTGACTATTGAAATAGTTTGAAACTATATTCAGAGTATATTCACATTTTCCATGGCTAATACCATGCTGGTACAGACAATACAGTCTTCAGACTTGTTTTGATTTTTGTCAAAAATATTTTGTGATTCACTTTAGTCGTATTGACATATGAAGACACAAGGTTCAAAAAATATCCCTTATATATGGGATACCAATATTTTCTATTAGCTCATACTGTTTCATATTCAGCATGGGTAAGAGCTTCGGGTATAGGTTCTGGCTAATAAATCCTTTTTATTTTTACAATAATAACGATAATATCAATTTATTGAAGTACCGTCAACAACTGATATCAATTTGAAGGACTCCCTTCACCCTAATATCTGGTTAGACTAGTCGTGTCTCTTTCATTCATTCGTTGTGCTCAGGAAATCTCAAGGTTTTTAACTGTATTATTACGCCTTGGTCAAAGACGAAACGGATTGGTTTAAGTTTGACGATAGTTGTGTCACGAAGTGTTCTGGCGATGCATTGAATTTATTGGAGCCTCTGGAGACACCCTGCATTTTGTTTCATAAGAGAGAGGACATTGTTAGATCAAGATCTTCAGATGATGTGGTGCTGAAGGTTTTTCCGGGTTTTCCTGCAGCTGAAAAAGCAAATGCGTCACTGGAATCAATGAAGTCGCCCCGGAGCGCCAATCAATTTTTATTGTTGTTTTTATTTCATTTTTATCGTTGTTTTAATAAAATTAGAATGTATTTATCAATTGTTTTTTGAAGTTGTTAATATTTGTTGTATTCTTGATGCTATTGCGTGAACTATTGAATTCCAGAAAATCTTTATCAAATATTTGTTTTACTGCATGTCATATTTTGCCAAAAAAGATGAATGTACTGATTATGCCTTACATCATGTTTATCTATTTGATTATTATCACGAAGAATGACAAAACTTGATGGTCACGATGATCTCCTACCATGTAGTGAGTGAGGGCTATATACATCAATTTATTATTTGATGATTGTATATTATATAATTATCAAAATATTTTGCTGAAATTTCAGTTAACATTTTATAAAAAGATTATCGATGGGTAAAGAATCTCTTTTTTTACAGATAATCAATTGAGTGTGCTCAACATACCATCATACCTACGTACCAAACCATATATCAGTTATACTTCAAAATAATTGTCATTCCTCTATTCAAAAAACTAATCAATATAGTTGACAATACAAAAGGGTTTTACAAAAACCGCGTCACGTGTTTCGCTATACAATAGCGTCTTCAAGCATAAACTGAGAGTTACTTCTAAATTACAACCATTTTATACTCTAACCTAGTACCTAATTGTCTACCTAAATAATGAATCTACCTGAACAGGTCAGGTGTGAATTCATTAACACTGTCAATACATTTTTTGAAATTATACCTGAAAATATACCTAACTTTTTTTACCTACAAAGGAATAGATTCAATAATGGTGAATTATTCAAGTCAGTTTGTTCGTTCATAAGATGTTGATAGTTTTTGAATTTGTTAATTTCCATACTCTCCAACAGGGTAAGTTTCAAACCTTTCTTCTGGAAATGGAGGGGTTTGTATTCATGGTTGAACTCATGTCCCTCTGAGATTAAATGACTGGCATATAGTGCAAATCGTACAATAAACTATATTGATTAGTTTTTTAATATGGATTTTCATCAAGTATCGGCCAGTTCTATTCAATTCCTCTGTTTTGACATTTTTACAGGATTGCTTGCCTATTCAAATCGAATGAGTATAATATGATGACAGTATAATCAAAATGTTATTGATCAATATTTTAGATTCAGAATTCAAGTGCTGCTAGATTCGTGAAGAAAAAATTATCTTTTTAGAAATTTCCTTTTTGCATATATTCAAAGTGTGCATGGAATGTGAGTTGATTGTTCAAAATATATCCAAGGTAATCCACTTCTGTGTTAATTTCTGATTTCAAAATATTGATGACGAATTATTTGTTATTGAGACTTCAAAATGTAACCTTTGTCCTAGCAGTAAACGCACATACCACTGATGATGTCTACTGCAGTGTGAAACGTTTGGTACTTCAGGTTCCATTCGACCACGGCCTATTAACCAGATTTTGTTCTCTTTAATCGTGACTCTGGCCGTGAAAGCCTTTGTTCTTATTTAAATTTCTTTGATTCCACACTCTTTTAGTGATTCCGGCGATTTTTTGTGTCGAATGTTTCAAAGGCTTTAGAGAGTAGTGTTACGGGGATTTTTGAATCTATTTTATCAACTGAGAGTTAAAAGAAAATTTTGGCTAAAACCAAATCTTGTGGAAGTTAATTCATCATATTCAGTTATTCTTTAGTTTTTATATTTGGAAATAATTTGAAATATTTCATTCCCGAGTTGTAGAATATGAAAATGATGTATGAAAAAAAATTATTCACCATTATATAATTTCATAATTATTTTTCAGGAGTTGGAGAATCCCTTCAAGATTTCAGGTCTTTCAGCCAATCCAATATTGTACAATTGTACAAAATTGGTAATCCTTTCAGCACTGTCGGGCGTCCTGTCGGAAATGCTGGGATTCAAGTTGAAATTGCACAAAATCAAACTCAAGTGATCCTACTTATTGAAATTGTAATTTTTGTGATCTAGTATTTGTTAGTTAATTTTCTGATAGTTTATTTATGTATGTAAATAAAAAGTTTAGACGAGCAACATCTGTGCGCTTATTTTGTTTTCTCAAATGTATATTCAAAATGCCTATTTAGATAATTCGGTGTATGTCAATGTGTTGAAAGGGTGCTGCAAGCAGCTTCTTCGGACCTGAACCTGTCATTGGCGTCGCTTTACGTTTTGCCAAACAAACATTGAACACCTGGATGGTAAGAAGATTTATGGACTTCTGGCAGAATCTTCCAGGATTGGCTCACTCCAAGGCGTTTATTCACCCTTAGAAGCTTGATACCAAACAGTTGTTGGACTACAGTAGGGATGAACTACGATGTCTAACAGGCCTTTTTTACAGTCACTGTCATTTGAATCATCATATGCAGAGACTTGGACTGTCGGAGGACAGTATGTGTCGCCTCTGTTTGAAAAATGATGAAACAGCAGAGCACATACTTTGTGCCTGCCCGCCGGGGACTGAATCAGGTTTTTAGAGTTCCGCAGAGCCGTACTCTTACCATCTGACTTTACAAACTAATCGGCTTCGTTAAAAAGCTGGGTTTATTTGGTCGAGTGTGAATAGGTTTGAGCCACAATAAACTCTCGCGGGTTGCGGTGGAGAGTCGAATAGACCCACTCACTTTGGACCTAACCTAATTCGTTGAAAGAAAAAAAAAGCAGTTGTTATGAGATCGGTCTTCATTTGATAAGTAAAATTTGGAACCTCTTAACGCGCGTTTCGCTAACCAAGTTAGCATCATCAGGAAATGTCTAAAACTGCTTATGAGGGCAAACTGTTTTCATTAAATATAGATCTACATAAAAGTCAAAAGATTTTCGATTGAGACAGACTGACGATAGTGAAAGGATATCAATATGAATTATTACTTGCGTAATAATGAAACCTTTCATGTTCCCAAAAAAAATTCAGGAAATTGGCAAAACAGCTCAGATAATAATGAAATAATTGATAAAGTGATTACATTATCATTGTAGGCATACAATCAATTGAAGTTTTAAACGGTCACAGCCGAAACTGAAATTCAAGTTCAGTGGCGGCACATCGCAATAAATTAAAAGATATTGACAAATAATTATGATTATTTTTTTTCTAAAAATGCTTGGATATCGTTACTTTACCATTATTTTGAATATAAATACATAATATGCCGGAAAAAACACTATCACTCACTACGCAGTACATAACACACTGTATTCTGCATTAACAAACCTCAAGGGAGCCAAGCCTCCGAAGTTTCAAAAAACACAAGCTCCGCGAGACGGATCCAACCAGAGACATACGTCCCGATTTGTAATTTTACGTCCCGATTTGTAATTTTAGTTGCAGAAATTATAGCGTTAGAAGAGGCTAGCCTCTAGTTGGTCTCCGTTAGTGTTAGGACGGGATGCCGTGACGGACCGGGACTGAAAAATATTTCGGTAAATCATTTTAGTGTTTCTTGATAATATTTATTATTTGTGTATAAAACAGGCAGTAATGTATTATAGCAGTGCTTTTTGGTAATATTTTCAATGTGTTTTTAAAGTGTTTTCTTTCAATTTCAAGGTTTTTTCAGGTTTTTACTTTTCGGTAAGTTTTTTTTTTCATTTATTGTGGATAAGTTGGACGAAATAATAATAAATAATTTTAAATATTTATCTTATGATAATAAATTTTACATTATTGAAACTCTGGTGAGGCCTCAAACAAATTTCAATTAAAGCGTCAGATAATAATCGACAAAATCGAGGATTTAATATTAGTTGGTACGATAAATGCGATTGGTTAACCGTCTCCATTAAACGAGAAAAACTTTTTTGTTGGCCCTGTGTTTTATTTTCCGTACAAAGCGAATACCAAACGTGGTTTGATATAGGATACTCCGATTTAAAAAATTTACCTGCAGAAATACATTTTAAATCTAAGGAGCATATATTTTCGTCTTGTAAATTAAAATTGTTTAGCAAAGAAAATATAGCAACAGCTATATCGTCTTAGTTAAGAACGAATGTTATGTTTACTTTTAGTTTATTTTTTTCTTTCCTATCCAAAATTACAAAATACACCTTTCAATTCACCTTTCAAAATGCGGGACCCTCGCGGACTATATTGAACTTGAATGACCGCCGATTAAAAGTAGTTTGCGGGTGCCTTGTGAATTCACTTAAACAAACCAGATTTAATCTTCTTTCCTACCCCATCCTTCCTTTCTTTTCCTGGCAAGACACGACTCTCACTTCTTGCTGGACAATACAATTTACTTTTAGACCTGTTTTTATAAACATAATTGAGTAGGGTCAGGTGGGGTACAGTGTTACAAAAAAAAATAAATTAGATTATATAGTGACAAAAATATTTGTTTAATCATTCTGTTTTTTGCATACAAATAAATTTTAATAATCCCTCTTCAATTAAAATAACTCAAATAGTAACATTATTTTAAATCACTTAATAAAATTGCACTTAAAAAAATCAGTCTATTGTTACACTCAGCCCCGCTCTGTTACAGTAAGGGGCACAGTGTTACAACATAAAAGTTATCGAAAGACTAACAAATAATAAAGAAAAAAAGTGTTACAACATAAAAAAATTAAAAATTAACAACATTTTAACAAATATTAAATTTCTTAACAATATTCTTTGGGAACGTATAGACATCTGTCTGGCGTTTGGTCTTCCTTTCTGCAACATTTTCCAGAGGTAGCACAATTTTGATATCTTCTAAATACACTGTTGCCATATCCGCTTCAATAGGAAAGTAGAAATTATTGTCAACTTTACCACTTTTACGTAAGTAGCTTATGTCATATTCATTATTCTCAATATTTGTGAGTAATTTTCCAACATAATGCCTGACTAGCTGTTTTCCAACAAATTGAACGACTACAAAATCGTCCTATTTCGGTTCCACAAAATGAGCTAGTGGCAGTTCATCCTCAGACGTTAAACTATCAGAGGAGGCTATCGAGATGTTTTCTGTATCAGTTTCATCGTCATCAAATATAACTCTTTCAACTGTTTCTTTTGTCTTCAGTCTCTTGCTGGGAATTCTTCTTTTTTAGGCACCTTATTTTTATTTCCTGTTGCCCGGGTCAAGCTACAAGGTTTAGGCTTTCTTAAGGTTAAATCACGATGCCGTTTTCTAAACCCATATAACCAGTCAATTCCTGCCATCTTCTTGTCTTCCCAGTTTTTTGGAATATTCAAATTATAATAAACAGCCATCTCATGAGCAAGCTTTCTGCACTCAACCGTATCGAGACCATAGCACATCCTGGAACAGCTAATTAAATACTCCTTCAACGCATTTTCTTGAATTGCACTGAATACGACTCTATTGGCATAATTTGGAGTAAGACGCATATTTTCGGCTCCTTGCGATGTAATTTTTTTCTTCTTTTTAACATATCTTTGCAATGTCATGAAGTTAACATTCTTTTTCGAATACTAATATCACTTTCAACCATCAGAATCGCTTCTGCCATATTTTTTTCAGTATGAAGACCGTAATCCGTCTTCCTCTTACGATTTCGCACCATTTTCCTTTAATACCTTTAAATAATAAAAAATATTTTAATTGGGGCTGACTGTTACAGTAGGGGCTGACTGTTACAGTAGGGGCTGACTGTTACAGTGTCACACAATGCCCCGTAATACAGTACCCCGGAGGTACAAGCCTAATAAATAATGCGGATGAGTATTTTAGGTTATGTTTGCAACAAACTACTTTCCGGTAATTTATAGCGAAATATACATGAAATAAAGGGAAATTAACATGACTTGCCCAAACACGATACGCCCGGAAAGAAATGAAAAACTTTGAAATGATTTTTTTTGGCGTTTAATCACATTAACACCTTTTTTGTTTTATATTTCTAAAACGCAGTACAAAATTCAGCTATGACATTTGTCTTAATATGGCGGCATCTGCACTTGATCAACGTGTATACCAACATCATAAAAATAAAAGAAAGGAACAGTGATATTTGCATTGTAACATTGTACCCCGTGTAACACTGTGCCCCCCCTGACCCTACTTGTGCTTATAAAATATTTGTAGCAATTTTTAACAAAACTATTATATTAGAAGAGAAAAGTATTATTTAATGTATAGTATATTTTTTTAAACATTTCCTGTAGAAAATGTTAGGAAGTTCGATTTTCTACTTGTGGAAGAGACTTTTGAATTCTCTATAGTATACATACAATATATCATCGCATAATTTTGAATCCCTTTATCAGTGAATTATAAGATTATTGTATAGGCGGAGATTGTAATATCTTTCCAGACAAAACATTCCAAATAACCTAAACTTCATTAAATTCCTTCAAATTATCAATGTTTATTGATCCAGCTATACTAGATTTTTTATGTTGAAACTATGACACACAAGATGCAGGTATAAATATAACACCATCTGCAGCCTCTGATCATGAAACTGTCATGACATATACCTATTCCTTGAACTATACTGAAAATATGAAAATACGTAAAATAAAAATTTGCTAAAATTCACAGTAAAAAATTCAAGAGTTTCTAGTTGCAGTGTGAACTCAACAACTGTATATCATCTCTTCATTTATCAGAACTCTAAAATAAGTAGGTATCATCAATTATTGGTTGATACTTTCTGTATTTGCTTTTTCGCAGGAATAATCACAGAAAAAAAAATGGAACAGCATTGGAATGAGAACCTCATCAAAAAATGTACGATCGTTGTGCACAATATAAACACACACTAACACTGAATTATTTTGAAATATTATAAAGAATATAGAATCATTTACTTACAATAAAGTCAACAGAACTGCCAAAGAAATATACTTCAGGAATGGAATTGAACTTATAAATCCAAAGAGAACTGGAGAGTTGTGAACAGCATGGAAAGTAAATTAGAAACATTACCAGTTCATTATTATGTTGACGTCAATAAATAGATAGATAGATGAATAATATACATTATTTCCCAAATAACATTAAGTTCTTGTTAACATTTTGACAATACTCTGAGTAACTTCAATTGCTCAGTAGCTTGTAAATCAATCT